ACGCCAAGCATATGAAATTCCATCCTTAGGGGTGGCATCAAAGATGTTTCCATTAGGGTAATAATGGGCCTAGAGAGTTCTTGCACACAGAGTGTACGGGCTTTGTATCAGCCTCCAAACTTGCTTAGAGAGCATTGCTATATTGAAACTGTGCATATCCCGAAAACCTAGACCCCCCCTAGCCTTGCTCAATGTTAGTTTCTTCCAACAGATCCAGTGTGTGGTGTTTTCCTTGTCCTGCTGGCTCCACCAATAATTTCCGATCAGAGAGCTTATTTCCTTGCAAAACGTTTTGGTGAGATCAAAACATGACATGGCAAAGGTGGGTATTGCTTGGGCCACCCCTTTTGCTAAGGTGTCTTTGCCTGATTTGGCGATAAGCTTCTCCTTCCATCCGTAGACCCGTCCCGTAATGCCACCCTTCACATAAGCAAAAGCTTTCCTTTTGGACTTTCCAACATGCACTGGAAGCCCTAGATATTTTTCGTTCCAGGACTCACTATGAATCTGCAAGGCTGATTTGACCGACTCCTTCTCCTCCTCCTTTGTGTTAGGGCTAAACATGATCGCCAATTTTTCCAGATTTATACACTGTCTCGAACAGTTTTCATACAGGTCCAACACCTCTCTGAGCGCTGCTCCCTCCATCTGGTTTGCCTTCATCAGCAACACAGAGTCGTCAACAAACAAGAGGTGGGATATAGGAGGTGCACTCCGGCAGATTTTCACTCCCGAAATTCTTCCCACCCGCTCAACATCATGGAGGAGTGCAGACAGGCCCTCCGCACAGATCACAAACAGATATGGGGACACTGGGTCCCCTTGCGTAAACCACGAGTAGGGCAGAACTGGTGTGACAACTCTCCATTAAGCTTAATCTGGTACCGGACAGTGGTAACACAATTCATTATCAGATCCACCCACCTTGCTTGGAACCCCAGTTTATGCAACATTGCTCGGAACTCCCATTCCACTCTATCATAAGCTTTACTCATATCTGCTTTGACTGCTGCCACTCCCTCCTTTCCTTTCCTCTTGTTCATTAGGTAGTGTGAAATCTCATAAGCCACCAGAACATTATCAGTGATCAACCGCCCCGGTACAAAGGCGCTCTGATTCTCCGAGATAAGCATTGGAAGGATCAATTTTAACCTGTTGGCAATCACTTTGGATACCAGCTTGTAGACGACATTGCATAGGCTTATCGGTCGGAGGTCCTTGATTCTATTCGGGTTCTTAACTTTGGGAATGAGAACGACAGTAGTATCATTCCAGCCTGGCGGCATTTCACCCCCATTCAAGACAGCCAACACCTCCTCTACCACTCGATCACCCATGAAGTGCCAGTGACGTTTAAAGACCACCGAGGGCATGCCGTCAGGCCCCGACGCTTTTAGGTCGCCAATATGATCCAACACTGCTTTAACCTCCTCTCTTGTGAATTCCATATCAAGCATGGTGTGCATTTGATCCGTGACTCTGGGTTCTACTTTCTCAATTAGCTCATTCACTCTATCGCCAGCACTGGATGTGAACAATTCCTGAAAAAAGAGCAAACGTAGTTATTAAGATCCTCTCCCTCCTTCACTACCGACCCGTCCTCCTTCTTCAACTCCTTCACACGATTTACCTTCCTCCTGGAAGACGCATAGGCCATGAAATAACGGGTGTTTTTATTGCCATCCCTGAGCCAATCCACATGTGATTGTTGCTTGGCCTTGGTGTTTTTCTTCTGCTTGAGATCCTCCACCGCACACCGCAGCCGCCCCTCTTCTTTGATTTTTTCCTTCGACACCGGGGCCTTCATACATCTCTCCAGCTCTTGCTTTGCCTTTTTTAGCCTTCCATCTAGCTCTCCTGCAACCTCCTTCGCCCATGTTTGCATTCTCCCTGCTACCTCTTTAAGTGCTCCACCCACCTTGGCCTCTCCATCCCGCCAACATTCCTCACAGGCTCCTTGTATCTCAGCGCAACAACCCTCCTCTTGTAACCACCAAGCCTCAAACCGGAATCCTCTATCACCTCCAACCCTCCTAACTCTCTCTCCTTCGGTGTTGACGATTACTGGCTGGTGATCCAAGTGGCGAGGGTCGCCATTAGTGACAGTGAAAGCTGGGAACGCCTCACACCATTCCGCGGTAGCCCTGGCCCGACCCAACCGCTCGCAAATGTAGTTCAATAGATCCTTGCTATGATTCCTCCAGGTGAATTTATCCCCCATGTAGCCAATGTCACACAGATCACAAGCCTCCAAGGCTTCTCTAAAATTGTTCATGAGTTGTTGAGGCCGATTCCCTCCTCCAACCTGTTCATCACTTGATAGGATCTCATTAAAATCACCGAGACAGAGCCAAGGTCGTCCATTCTGATGCTGCTGTCCTAGTATTCTCAACGTCCTCCATGTTTCCTTCTTACGCCTGTTTCGGACTCCCCATACACACCCGTCAACCTCCACACCCTCCCATCATCCTATGTTACGTCCACATCTATATGCCTCCGTCCATAGGATCGCAGCGATACTTCCACTCCCCTACGCCAGAACAATGCAATCTCGCGGCTCCTCCCTTCTGGGTTCCACGCAACCTTGTGTGTCAAGCCCATCATCCACCTGAACCTCTCCATTTCTTTTTCTGTTAGTTTCGTCTCCGCCAAGAAAAGTACGTCGGGCTCGTCCATTCTCCCCAGTTCAAGGATACTATGAACTGCCGGGCCATTCCCGAGCCCCCGGCAGTTCCGGTCGATGATTTTCATTGCGCCCGGCGGGACTGCTCCTGTAGCCCGGCTGATGTGCTAGTATTGTTTACGATATCAGTGATGTTCCTCCCTGCATCCTCTTTCTCTGTCTCTCCTCCCACTTCCGTTCTTCCCTTCTTTGCCTCGGACATATGATCATTATGTTCCTCCTGACTCCTCTTCTGCCCCAAAATTGTCTCCCTCTGTTGGTGATCCGTCGCACCACCCTTTTCCTCCCTACGGACTTTTTTGTATCTTTTAAGATCATAGCCCTTTTGCGCACCTCCCTGCTCTAGACTTCCCTTCTTGTTTATTGGCACCTGGTGGCTTCCTACTTTCTCCCGCTCCCTCATAGCCACGCTTGGCGAGTGTCACCCATGGCTAGTGTGATGTTCTTCTCCTCCTCTCCATCTACTTCCCTCCGAACCAACTCTCCCTTGCGCCTCACTTCTTCCGTGGCCACTGTTCCCTCCTCGACACCCATATCAAGCTTTTTGGGAGCCCCTGATCTATGTTGCCCAGTGATTCTTTTCGGCGGACTTGTGACTTCCTCTCCCTTCTCTGAGCCATCTTCCTTCCCTCCTCTCCTTCCGCCCCCCTCTTTCTTCCATGTCAGACTATAACTCCCACTCCCCAATCTACCACCCGACCGACTAAAGCCATAGCTTCGCTGGTTATCTCCACTCATGTTCTTCCCCTTCCAACCCCAATGGTCATCATTGCTAGCCCGCCTTCTTCCTACATCCGCTTGAGCCAACTCCCAAACTGTGGTCTTTCCCCTTTCTTCAGCTTAATTGTGCAATCCTTCTCGCCATGGCCAATCAAACCACAAGTATAGCAGAAGTCCGGCATGAACTCGTACTCGAACCGACACCATTGCCCCTCCTCTACTTCTTCTACCGTATTGTAAATGGCCATTTTCTTCTTCTGTTCCTGTTTGTGTTGATCCTCCTCCTCCTCCTCTAGCGTGAATCCCCTCATGATGGGCTTCTCAATAGTCATCCTCACCTTGACTCGCAGAAATTTTCCAATGGCTTTCCCATCCGCCCCTGCATCCGCCTCTACAAACTTACCAATGGTATTCCCTATATCTTCTGCCGCTTCCTCATTCATCATACCCAGAGGAAGACTGAAAATGCGCACCCAGATGGGTATATCATTAAATTCATAGTCCTCAATACGCTTGCCTGGATCATAATTCTCCACCACCATCAACTCCTTGTCGAACATCCACGGCCCATCTTCCAACGCCTTTCTCTTTCCCGACTCTTGCTTAAAGGTGAACATGAACACGTAGTCTCCTACCTCCGTGCAGTCGATCCCCTTTATTGGACACCAGACGCACCCCAGGGATAGAGAAATCGCATCGGGATGTGCTGGTTTCTCGGACAACAGCTTGCCAATTGCCCGTGGATCTGTGTTCTTCCCCTTCTCCTTTGCCGACCCGCGGATCTTGACTACCTTCTTCTCCTCTTCCGAAAGCTTGATCCTACTCATCAACTTCCCTACTCCTTCCATCGCTCTTCCTCCGGACCACCCCAAACAGCCGCCTAGGGTTCACGGTGTATTACGACTACGCGCCCTAGGAAACACACAGAAGGTTTCGAGGTGGATGGATCGGGGACAAAAGCTCGAACCAGATCGCAGCAACTCAACCAGGATCTCGGGCAAGGCACGTTCACAGATGGGATCGGGAGCCAAGAGGCCCAAAACCCTAACCGCCTCCGTGATCGTCGGAGCGATACGTGAACCGTCACCCTATGGGACGGACATATATCTCTGAATTGTTTTTTGTGGCCATCCTCATGGTTGAAACTGATCCGCCGTGGAGCAACAGCCATACATAGAATTTAATATTCCCCTCCATCCGGCCCCTCCACACCTTGGCCACGCCAGGCCTGTCAATTCTAGCCACAAATTGGGCACCATGTCACCATCTTGAGACTAACTAATTCCATTTCCCCACTTTCGTGGAATAAGAATGTAGCAAGCTCGGAGGACGACCTTTTGTTGCCATTGGTATAAGTTAACCAAAGAAAATCTAGAGAGAGTTCCAAGTACGTGGGATGCAAACGTAGACAATTCAACGCACGTAGAAACGAGTGGCCACTCCTAGAAAAGTTGAAGTCAACATGTGCAGCCTTCAGCCACACCGAGTAGAAAAATCAACCCTTTCAAAAAAGAAGTTAGAAAATCAACACGGCCAAGATGGAATCATTCGTAGAAGATTTGCCTATATAACACACCAACATTGCGCTGCCACACGAATGGAACATCTTAGGGTATTCCTAGTCGATCGCACAATGGCGTCTCCTCCATCTTCCACCGTGATCCAGATGCCTCCATCTCCACATACCAACGGCGGCATGCCGACGGCCCCGTCCACGCCCAAGGACGCCGGCGACATGCCGACCACGGCGCCCGCAGCAGCTGCCGGACCATCGTCCACGGCGACGGACAAGGTCATGTGGAGCGCTGTGAACCTCGCGCAGCTCCTGCCTACAGGCACGGTGCTGGCGTACCAGGCGCTGTCCCCGTCCTTCACCAACCACGGCACGTGCGAGACCTCCAACCAGTGGCTCACCACGACACTCGTCGTCGTCCTCGCCATCCTGTGCGTCCTCTTCTCCTTCACGGACAGCGTCCTCGGCCGCGACAAAAAGGTCTACTACTGCGTCGCCACGCCAAGCGGTTTCAACGTGTTCAACTTCTCCGATGAAGAGGAGAAGCTGCAATGGACTGCAGCTGAGTTCCGGAGGCTTCGCATGCGGCCGCTGGACTTCATCCATGCCATCTTCACGGCGCTCGTCTTCCTCATTGTGGCGTTCAGCGACGTGGGCCTACAGAACTGTTTCTTCAGCAAAGCCAGCAAGAACGCTGGGGAGCTTTTGAAGAACCTGCCACTCGGCATTGCCTTTCTGTCGAGTTTTGTGTTCATGATCTTTCCCACAAAAAGGAAGGGCATCGGCTACACCGGCACTACCCCTCGCGAAAAGCTCACTTGATGTTAATTAAGGTCACTTGTTTCTGAACAGTTAGATATATTAGATTGTAATCGAATCATGGTATATAGTTTAGATAACTTTTTATCAGTTAAATTATAATGTAATCAGGGTATATATATAGGACTAGTATTAGTTACGATTACTTACTTATGCTTACTTGCTTGTTTTTCAAAGTAGTTGTCTATTCTTCAATTTATTCATGCCAAATTTAATTAAACCATTATGTGGACAGATGCCCTTGTACAACGCTATGATTGTAATCTTTATCTGTTTTATAATTAAAGAGAAAATGAATATACCTTCCTGTATAAAGAAATAACTGATGTACCTCGCCGAAAATCTACCTAAACTCCGTGAATTATGAAGCCCAGAGTATTTAAATTTACAGAAATCATACCAAATTTGTCTCACAGCATGAGAGGTTTTTATTAAACGGGAAAGGCGACCGCTCTGCCCATTCCACTAACATAGGAACATACCCATTCCACTAACATAGGAATATAGCAAAAGGAGTACACAAATATTTACATGGAACCAATATAAAAAAATAGAGGAGAAAAGAAAAACGAAAACATGAACTTCGTGACCTGTGTGAGAGCTAACCGCCTTGGTCGACATCCTCCTTTATAAGATAAGCTACATCGAGCATAATAGTAAGGGTGCGCCTCATTCAATCTTCATTTGTTCCCCTCCTTCCACACATTACACAACACATAAATCATCATTTTTGGCAAATGGTTGTGAAACGCAAGCTTTACGGGGTAAAAGAAAATGCTCATGTTCCACCAATCTTCTAAATGGGTGAAGTCGAGGAGCGTCGTTTCTTTGAGAGGGGGGTAGGGGGGGGGGAACCAAGTCAATACAACTTCTTATATTCCACAAGTGAATAGGGTTTGCGGCGCTGGTTCCGCCAATGCTAAGGAATTTTGCGTCGAAGTCAATGAATTGTTTGGCACTATGAATATGATCTCAAGCTCCAAGAAGTACATGCAAAAGGTCATTACAGTATACATTCCATTGGTCCATGGTGTGTGTCGCTTTTGGGATGAATAGCTTAATATTGAAGACGTCTTGATCTCAAGCTGCAATCTCGATGCACACGTACGTGCGATGTAAAAAGATGTTTGCCACCATGATTTTTTTTCTATTTGGAGAAACCCCCAAGGTTACGAATACTATCTGTACGTAATAATAAAGCAGGGAACGCTTTTGTTCTCTGTCGTGTCTTTTTGCAAAAAAAAAACCTCTGCCTTTTCCAGTAATTAACCCACAGTCCATCTGTAAGTGAGAACAAATCCTTTTTTGTATTTTATACAAACCTCCTGCCTTTTATGCTAATTAACCCACGGTCCATATTTAAATCAATACCAATCTTTATTTTGCAGTTTTACATAAACCCCTCTATATATGCATTAGTCACCCTGCAGTCTAGTGAGAATAAATATATTCTTTCAAATAACCATATCTTTTAAACCATAACTCTAATTGTAACATGTTATATATGAAATGCAATTAGAAAAATATGTAGAATATGAATATGATGTTATTTTACATGTTAAATATTTTTCAAATGCTATTTAAGGTGCAATGTTAATCAATGACACACAATCCGTCTTTATTTCGCACTGCCGATCTGTATTGCAATATGTAACATTAAACGTTAATATTTGGGGAAGGTTATAATCCTTGGGCATGTTGTATTTGCACTGGGTTCTCTCTTTGTACATGTTTCATGATTTAAGACCCTAAATGCGTACATTTTCTCGGCGAAGTCCACGCGCCTATTTACCAACGGACTACACAAATTTTTTGTAGTGAATACACAAACAATTTTTATAGGATGTACACACACTAATAAAATTCATGAACATCAGAAGTGCCTGAAGGTTTATTTTGAAAACATCCGAACTATTCGTGTGATAATATTGAATGTTAATAGTGGAACCGATAAGTATAATCTTAATTTGTGTTCCATCTGTTGCATGTGATGGCTACACATATAGGGTTTCATGAATAGACTTAATTTATAAACGCGGACTCCTCAGTATCGAACGGCGCCACAAAGATGATGCCTGAGTGTGGCCGTAGGTGCACAGAATCAAAATTTGATCGAAATGATAGCAGCTCAGGTAAAAAATATTTACTGACCCGTCGCAATGCACGGGTAAGTTTGCTAGTCAAGGAAAAAAAATTAAGGACATAGGAAGCGAACTTTGCACATAAACCGGGCTTGACTCTCTTTTTTGGTGTTTCTTCATTATCGCGCATCGTGCGTCGAATAAGCATGCAGGCAAAGGAAGGTTAACGGCACGGCAAGGCATGAGAAATAGACCGATTGATGTTGGGCGACTGCTACAAATCATTCGACTGAGAAATCAGTCGGGTCAAACGCCGTTGGATTAATCCTCACACATCCGTTCGAACTGGTCAACACGTTGGACGGGGCCTTCTTCTCTCATCGCAGACGCAGCAAAAAAGCAACCACCGTGTCGCCGACTCGCCGGCGGGAAGCAACACCGTCTGGTTTGTAGCAGAAGTCGTGCCCCCTCATCAGCAACGCAGCAATGCTCCATCGACCGGCGCCGGCGAAGCTCGCCGCCGCCGGCGTCGCCGTCCTCCATTGCATCACCCCCGACGGCCGCCACATGCTTCATTGCAGCCCCTCGCCGCACGGTGGTGCTCCATCACAGTCCCTGCTGCCGTCGCATCTCCCATCTCCCATCACAATATCCGTTAGCCGCCGACGAAGCTTCAGTGCAGCGCTGCCACCGGGCACGGCGGAGCTCCATCGCAGTACCCTGACGGCCACCGCATGCTTCACTGCAGCGCCCCACCGGGCAGTGGTGCTTCATCGCAGCACTGGCTACCGTCGCATCTCCCATTGCAGCACCCAATGTCGCCAGCGAAACTTCAGTTCAGCTCCGCCGCAGGCGCGGTGGTGCTCCATCGTAGCACCCTAACGGCCGTCGCATGCTTCACTGCAGCGCCCTACCGCACGGGTGTTGCTCCATCGCAGCACTGGTTGCCGTCGCATCTCCCATTGTAGCACCCGATGGTCGTCGGCGAAGTTTCAGTGCAGCGCCGCTACCGGCGCGGTGGTCCTCCATCGTAGCACCGACTACCTCCTCCCCCGCGTCACAGCATGCAACTCCTCCTGCTGCTTCACTTCCGCTCTTGCAATGGCCGGTGGCTGGCCGTAAAACAAACCCGGCGCCCGCTTGCCTCAGTTGCAACGGCATGGTGAGGGTGTGCTTGGAGCAGGTCTGCAGGTGGCCGTGCATCACGAAAGGGACGGCAGGCCGTGGACCAACGGAACGTGGATCGTACGTGCGCACGTGCTCTGGAAGCGTGAGATCATATTCATCAGATCCTATAAAAAGGTGAAAAGGTCCCTTTGTTGTACATCGACTCCCAGTTGAACGAACGGTAGGTCTGACAAATTTATGCGGTTGGTATATAGCGAGATTCTGCAGTCTCATCACCCTGCTAAACTAACCAAAGGTTGGTCTCCACGGGCGTTGGAAGGCCAGCCAGTTGCGCCTTCCACTGAAAAGTCTTGGATGGACTGACGACAGGCAGATTCTCCTCTGGCCGTGCATACTACTGGCTATATCATATAAACCAACCTAATCTTTACCTAATAATAAAGAGAATTAGATTTTCTGCCTGTACGTCATAAAAACTACCTTCGAAGTTGGTAATAATTACCCGTCAATGCCATCCGTAAGTGGCAAAAACGATACGTTTTTAATTTCAAATATCGCTCCCGGGTTCTGTCATTAATAGTTCATACGGTTTAAGAACATCAATGGATGAGTAGCGCGATGGCTTAGGCTATGACGCTCCACACAGGAGACCAGGGTTTGATCCCTGGTTCTCGACGCCTTTTCTTATTCTTTTTACCTATCTTAAGCACAGTAATGGGCCAGCCCATGTGCGGGTCGTGGCGCCCCCTGTTTTGTATTTCTTTTTTTATTTCTGTTTTGGTTTTTTCCTCTAAAAATTAATTTTAGATTCGTGGCACCCCCTATTTTTTATTTCTTTTTACTTTTTTTATTTCTGTTTTGGTTTTTTATCTCAGAATTAATTTCGGATTTCCAAAATATCAAACAGTTGCGAGTTTTGAAAAAAAGTAGGAAAATTGTAAATTGTTTGTGAATTTAAAAAATATTCGAAAAATCATAAAATGTTCATGACTTAAAAAATTGCTCACATATTATAAACAAATCATGATTTCAAATGAATTTTCATCATGAAATAAAAAATGTTCATGATTTTTTAAATGATCCAATATTCAAAGCATATTCAGGAATTTAGAAAACATGTCCATCAGCTTTTAGAAAATATTCACAAAAATTAAAACACATCCGTAAATAATGAACAAAACTAATTGTAGCTTCATAAAGGTTTTATTAGGAGATCTATAGAGCTCATTTTATGATTTTATTTAGTCCTTCGCATCTGGTAAAAAAGGGTTTCCGTGTTTTGTACAATGCTGAACCCAGCAAAATTGACATAACTTTCTCAGGGTTAGTTTTTGTAAGCTATATTAAAATGACTAAATGTCTATTTTGCTTCCATACACAGTTATGCTTAATCACGTATCACAATAGTGGTTATGGTAAACACCGCTACGCTAAGTCAAGGCGAGACACTTTATTTATCAGTATAGCTCAGGCAAGGTCCGTCAATGCAGTTTGCTCAGCCACAAAATATTTTGTTGTGACGCCTTAAACAATCAAGTCTTGATGAGCATCATATTGTTCATTTTTGAAATTACATTTTAAAAGTGTCTTATCTCATCATGACATCATTTGTATATACTTTGTGAATTTGATTCATACTTTTTTATATCTACCACACATGTATAACATGATAGTTTTTTTCCCGTTGCAACGCGCGGGCATTTCCAAAAACGTTCGTTAAATCAAAAAAAGTTCGTCAAATTCAATAACTATTCCACCCAATTTCCAAAAAAGGTTCATCGATTATAGAATGTTTGCCAGTTCAGGAAAATTGCTTAAAAATGTTCACAATTTTTAAAAAATGTTTGTAAATAGCAAAAAATGGTCATAAATTAAAAAAATGTTCTTGATTGTAGAAAATGTTCAGAAATTTGTAATAGTATGTTGTTTGCGATTTCAAATATGTGCATGAGTTAAACAAATTGTTCATAATTTCAAAATGTTCTTGATTTCGCGAAATTGAGAGAGATATTGTATCTCGGTGATGCAGCGAAATGTGATCATGACCATTGGAAATTATGATTTTTTTTTCTCCCGTTGCAACGCACGGGCCCTTTTGCTAGTAATAAAAAGCAAATTAGGTTTCTTTCGTCCGTCATGGCATTTTTTAGAAATGTCCTTCTATTTCATAGAAGTCAACCCGCAGTCCTGTTTTAAGTCAAAACGAATCGTTTTTTTTCGTGTTTTACACAAAAGTCCCTGTGTTTTCTTGAAATCAACCCGCTGTCCGGATTTAAGTCACACCCGAACCGTTATTTTACGTTTTTCGAAAACCCCCCTGACGTTTTAGATAATTCATCTGCGGATCATATGTAAGTCAAACAAATACTTTTTTAAATCATCCACATCTTTTAAACCGTAACTCCGATTTGAACATGTTATATATGATATTTGATTAGAAAAATATGTAGAATATGAATATGAGATTATTTTTACCTATTAAGTATTTTTAATATTATTTTGGAATATATTTAAATCAAACAAATGATTTTCTAAATTATCCGTATCTTTTAAACCGTAACTTCGATTTTAACATATTATATATGAAATTTTATTAGAAAAATGTGTGGAATCTAAATATGATGTTAATTTTACCTGTTAAATATTTTTAAAATATTGTTTTGAAAGCAAACTTGTAATTTCTAGCGCAAGATCCGTTTTTTCTTTCGTATCGGCGGCAATCCGGATTGCAAATAAACACCCCAGTATAACCATATAGGCAAAAGAAAACATCAATAACTACACATGCATACCTCTAAAAAATATCGCAGGGGAAAATAACAGAGAGAAAGCGAGAGAGAGGGAGGGAGGGAGAGAGAGAGAGAGAGAGAGAGAGAGAGAGTGGCGAGGGAGGAGAGAGGGAGAGAGAGACGCCTTAGAATTAACCATATTCAAACACGTTTTTTTGTTGTTTTGTGTGAACACCGAGGCCATCGCCGGCGAGGGTGAGAAGGAGGATAAGCGGCAACACAAATATGATGCCTCACAAATATAAAAGAGATGGACCTATCGAGTGATGGTTGTTGGGTTAAGAGTGTGTGTTATGTTTTTTCTCCCGTTGCAACGCACGGACTCTTTTGCTAGTATAAACCAATATCCAGATCTTGAGACTGATTAATTCCTTCTCCTCACGTTCGTGGAAGCAGACTGCGTCACGTTCGGACGACGACCTTTTGTTGCCATTACTGGACGTTAACCAAAGAAAATCTAGAGAGAGTTCCGAGTACAGTACGTGGGGAAAAAATGGGATGCAAACGTAGAAAATTCAATACTACACGTAGATACGACTCACCACGCCTAGAAAAGTTGAAGTCAACATGGGAAGCCTTCAGCTAGCATGCCACACCACATGGGAACAGACTAATCAACGCAGCCAACTTTGGACCCATTCTAAGAGGATTCGCCTATATAAGACCAACGTTGCGTTGCCACACGAATGGAACAGCTTAGGACATTTCTAATCGACCACACCATGGCATCATCTTCTCCATCTTCCACCGTGATCCAGATGCCTCCAAGTCCACACACCAACGGCGGGACAGCCGGCCTTGCCCCGGCCACGCCTAAGGACGCCGGCGACATCCCGACCACCGCATCCGCAACAGCTGCCGGGCCAGCAGCCAGCGCGACGGACAAGGTCATGTCGAGCGCCGCGAACCTGGCGCAGCTGCTGCCGACGGGCACGGTGCTGGCGTACCAGGCGCTGTCCCCGTCCTTCACCAACCACGGCAAGTGCTTCTCCTCCAACCAGTGGCTCACCGCGGCGCTGGTCCTCGTCCTCACCATCTCATGCGTCCTCTTCTCCTTCACCGACAGCGTCCTCGGCCGCGACCAGAAGCTCTACTATGGCATCGCCACGCCACGTGGTTTCAACGTCTTCAACTTCTCGGACGAAGAGGAGAAGCTGCAGTGGACTCCCGCTGAGTTCCGGAGGCTTCGCATCCGGCCGCTGGACTTCATGCGCGCCGTCTTCACGGCCCTGGTGTTCCTCACCGTGGCTCTCAGCGACGTGGGGCTGCAGAACTGCTTCTTCCCCAACGCTGGCATGAACACCCAGGAGCTTCTCAAGAACCTGCCATTGGGCATCGCGTTTCTGTCCAGTTTTGTGTTCATGATCTTCCCCACAAAAAGGAAGGGCATCGGCTACAGCGACACTACTCCTCGCCAAAAGCTCACTTGATGTTTAGATCGATCTTGTTTTTAAACAGTTAGATGGATTAGATTATAACAAATCACCATATATAGTACTATAACTTTATTGTTTAGATCACTTATTTTTTAACTTAAAATGTAGTGTAATCGCCGTATATAGGAGTAGTATCACTTGTGATTACATTTTTTTGTGGAAATACTTGTGTATTGCTTAATTTATTCATGCAAAATTTAATGAAACCATTTGTGTGGGCAGATGCCCTTGTTCGCTGCAGTTGTAATGTTTATCTTTTAATTAGAGAGAAAAGGCATGTATGTACCTTCTTGCATAAAAAGAATAATTGATGAACTTTGCTGAAAGTCTACCTAAACTCCTAAATATCGAAACCTGAACTATTTGAATTTACCAAAATCATTCCAAATTTGCAGGGAAGGCGGGTGCTCTGCCCATTTCAACATTGGGACATAGAAAAAAGGAGTACAAAAATATTACATGGAAACAGGAAAAAAATAAGAGAAAAAAAAAGAATAATATGAACTTCATATCCATTGTGAGAGCTAACTGTCTTTCGTCAACATCTTCCTTTACAAGATAAACTATGTCGAGCACAATAGTAAGTGTGGTTTCGTTGAAGATTCGTTTGTTCCGCTCCTTTCACGCATTCCACATCATATAAAACATATTTTGGCAAAACAATTCTAAAATGCAAGCTTTATTGTGGTTAAAAATACTCTTGCCCCACCAATCTTCCAAAGGGGTTTCCTCGGTGGACAGAAAACCAAGTGCATGCAACTCTTCGGATTCCACGATTGAACAGGGTTTGCAACGCTGGTTTAGCTGATATCCAGGAATTATGCCATTAAAGTCATCAAAATCAATGGATTGTTTGGCACTCCGAATAGGATATCAAGCTTCAAGAAATACATACTACCAAAGGTCGCTTTTGTTTCCAACCGTTGGTCCATGGAGTGTATCGCTTTCAGTGTTGAATGGAGTAAGATTGAAGATGCCTTGGTGGCAAGCTGCAATCTCAATACGCATGTACAGTTGGACGAAAAGGTGTTTGCCCCCGATAATTCATCCCGGAGCCCGGGCTCATCTGCTCCCGCTCATCAAAAAATTCAAACAAAATACTAGAAAAATTCGAAAAATTCCAATTTTTTTTATGGTGGTAGATAATTTGACGCGTGAGATGCGCCCTAAAATTCAATTTATTTGGACATCTGAGTAGCTCTCGGCAAAAAAGATAAATCAGGTCAAAACAGTGATATCGAAGGAGGAATTAAGGGTGCACCGAAGCAAACTTTATGCACGAATAATCCGGTTGTTTGCAAGCAGGCACGGTGTTTCTTCGTTATCACACATTCGCGCTCGTGCGTCAAGTAAGTGGGAATTAACAGCACGGCAGGGCATGAGAAAGAGAGCGATGGACGTGGCCGATTGGAGCTCGTGCTTGTGGTCAATATATCTTCCTCTCAATATTACTACTCCATTCATCCGGAGAGGGATGGAATAAAAAGCGGCCTTCTCTATGTAGTACGTGCACACGTGCAAGGATTAATTCAAAGACTTGCACTGGAAACGTGAGCTCCTATTTATCAGAGTCAGAAACAGTGGTTTGAAGTTTGTAAATTCAACCCTTATTCTTTTTTTAGGGTAATTCAACCCTTATTCAGAGTGGAAAGAAAAGGCCCCTTTTCGCTTTTGTACAGTGCTCGCTACACAGCCCTATCTACATCGTCAGTACCCCCTTCTTGTAGAACTCGAGCCGCCAACGCTCCTTGGAGTCAAGCTTCGAATGATTCCGGCAGATCTCGACCATGTACTCATCATCGACACATGCCGCCTCGAGCCGCTAGAAGACCTCCCAAACCTCTCTTACCCTGCGGCAGGAGACCATTCAGAGGTCGATGGTGACGAGCTCCAAGACCTGGCGACTGCCGAGGTGGAAGTTGATCCTTTCCCGATTGTTGTAGTAGCTCAGCGCTTTCACTTCATAGGCCCTTGTTGCCAACTCCATCTACTTGAAGGAGACGATCCAGTACCGTTGGCCGGTGTCCTGGTCCTTAATTTCTGAAACCCATGTCACCCGCGTCCGTTGTCGCATGCCGTGGTACCTCATGTTCGGCCGCGGAGTGTTGGTGAAGGAGCGGGAGGGGGACGTACCGCCGCATGCTCGGGTTGGCTGCGTCTCATGGAGTGGATATGTGCTTCGAATTGGTGGCGACGACCTCTGGCAACTAGATCATGCCCTTTTGTGGAAGTCGAGGCTGCATCGGTCGATTGGAAGTGTCGGCGGGGCTGGGAGAGAGTGTGCAGGGCAGTGGCGGAGCCAGGAATTTGCTACTGGTATTCCTGTCAAAAACATTTGGGCAAAGCAATAAAATAGAACAACAAATGTACAATAAGATGGCAATATCCATGACTCAATGACCATACATCGATAAAAGTAGCAAAATACCATTGTGGCAATATCTTGAAAAATTAAGGAAGATTACAAATAGCAAAGGAAATTACAATATGACTTTACGATCCCCTTTTTGGAAGAGATTGATGACATCATCTTTCACTTGCTTGAAGAATTTTCTCTCAACGAATGCAACCAAGCAATTCTTCAAATATTCATCATCCATTTTGTTTCTTAGCGAATTCTTCACATATTTCATCAAGGGAAATACCCTCTCAATACTAGCAGTGGCTACCAGAAAAATGAGCACCAACTTAAGAAGTTTGTACGGAATTCCAGGGAATTCCCAGGAATACCCAACACCGCCACTAGTGCAAGGTGGATTTCATCGGTGGTGATGCGATGCAAGTAAGGGAGAGGGGCGGCGCGGGAGGAGGGTAATTTATTCCTAGGATTGAGTCGCGGCCGAGTATAATAAGCGGCGACATGATGAGTAAAAATTTGGAGTAGTTAAACCAAATATGGGTTCAGGTAGGTCTGATTTAAATACTCAAAACAAAATTTGTATGCACCATAAAGGTTGAAGATGCCTTCAATGCTTCAACCCTGGATCTCCTTCATGTTGAGGAGCCTCCCCATCAATGAGTTAAATTCCACGGTCGGTGTGTGCTGGCAGCATCTGCCGGTACAGGCACGCCCCATCTATGGCGAATGGCCACTTGTGCTTTGCCGATCACACATCTTCCATCAGGAGAGAGGAGATCGCCGGATCGGCCCTCGGCAAAAATAGGATCGGAAGGTTTTTTCACCTGTCCATCCCTCTATCCTACAACCGACACTTTAAAGGGATTTTTTGTAGATAGATTTTCTTACGTTAGACTAACAGAGTCAAGTGGATACCACTGTGGCAGGGGAGGTGGGTTATTCATAGAGGAACTTCATTGTGGGGGCCAAGGGATATTCTAAAGAAGTGTTTCTTTGATGAATAGAGTAGCCATGATGGCAATTAAAAGGTTGGGCCCTATGAAGGAAAGCCTTGGGTATGTTGGTGTGATGACGACATAAAAGAAATAACCTTCAACAATAGCCTTGAACAACTAATTAAGCCAGGTTTATGGGACCATACCCCCCCCCCCTACCTAACCACATTAAGTTAGAGGTAGGGGATTCTAGCCACCACCCCTTCTTGCTTGACACCACACTTTTTTAGTAACTGTTTTTGCTTCAGTACATATAACACATACTATTTAAATAGTTACCACCTTTTCCGTATTGTGCTTTTAGTTTACAATATATACATATGATAGAATTTCCCTAATATCGCGTGAGTCAAAAATAAATAAAAATTCATTTTCCTATTTAGATACAGATTAGTAACTCACACATCATGTTACCTATTAATTAAAGGACCAAGATTTAACTATAGTGATATTTACATACCCCTTTCACTAGTAGAAAAAGGGTCAAACGTGAAGCACATTAGTGCCGGTTTGTAAAAAAACCGGCACTAATGTGATCAATAGTGCCGGTTCGAATGGCTATGCATTAGTGCCGGTTCGTGCCACGAACCGGTACTAAAGGGGTGGTGGCAGGCTGACGTCAGGCCAGGGCCCCACGAGCCCCTTTAGTGACGGTTTGTGACACAAACCGGTACTAAAGGTCTAACCTATAGTACCGGTTTGCGTCACCAACCGGCACTACAAAGTCTTAACCTATAGTCCCGGTTGAAGACACAAACCGACA